TTACAGGGGTAAGCCACTGCGCCCCACCTGGAGTCATTTTTAGAAGAATCACAGGACCTAGAAAAGCATTTACCAGCTTATATAATATGGGGACTTAGCTATAGTACCAACTCTACCTGTTGGCCTATAGCTAGAAACTAAGATTTCAGAATTTTCCCTGTCCTAAAATAATTGAAGAAGAGAGGGGAGTGACTTATTGGAGTATTTGTGGACCTGCCTTCATCACCTCCCTTGTCCACAGGTGAGTTCAACGTTCATGGCCATGAGAATGCCCCAAGTCTTGGACTACTGCAAAGGAGCTAGGCAGGCACAGCTCTCAGAGCTCTGAGGACAGAAAGGCCACTTGTAGCTCCAAGTGTCACCTACTTTCTATTGTCCTTTCAATAAAAACAAGAAGGGCTGGCCAGGTGTGGTGGTTCACGCCTATAGTCCTAGCACTTTGGGAGGCTGAGGCAGGCAGATCATGAGGTCAAGAGATAGAGACCATCCTGGCTAACATGGTGAAACCTGGTCTCTACTAAAAATACAAAAATTATCTGGGCGTGGTGGTGGGCGCCTGTAGTCCCAGCTACTCGAGAGACTGAGGCACGAGAATTGCTTGAACCCAGGAGGCAGAGTTTGCAGTGAGCCAAGATTGTGCCACTGCACTCCAGCCTGCTGACAGAGCGAGACTCTCTCAAAAAAACAAAACCAAACAAAAAAACAACAAACAAAAACAAAAAACAGGAAGGGCCAGGATTATGACTTTCCAACTAATAACATTACTTCCTGCCTTCTGGCGTTTGCCTGGAGCTGTTTCTCAGCGGTCCCATAGCTTGCTTTCCCTTTCCCTCCAGGGCTCTTGTGTGAACAGGAAAGTGGTCAAGGTCTGCCCTTGGATGAGTGGGTGGGTTCTAAGTCAGTCTCTAGAGCCCTGAGAGTTTTGATGTCAGATCTGTTGTCCATATCCCCAGATGAGGAGGTTCTGTGGATCCAGAGGGCAGTGGCCGTCTCCCTGTTTTTCATTCACTTCACCCCAGCCCCTCTCTCCTTCAGGGCACCCTGACTGCTCAAGGGAAGCTGCTGCAACAGGACACGTTCTATGTGATAGACCTGGATGCGGGCATGCAGTCCCGGACCAAAGAGAGGCGCGTGTTCCTCTTTGAGCAGATTGTCATCTTCAGTGAACTGCTCAGGAAGGGATCCCTCACCCCCGGCTACATGTTCAAAAAGAGCATCAAGGTGAGGATCCCAGTGGTGATGAGAAGGGGGCAAGGAAGACCCCGGTTCTTGGGATGTGCTTCCCTAAAACAAGGCACTAGATGACATCCAGAACACTGAAAATCTTTCAGTCTAATAACCTTCGGTCATGGAGGTTGAACGACAGTGATTATCTGTGAGCCAAAGTGACAGGCTGACCCAGTCTCTAGCATGACCTTGTAGTTTCCCTGGGATCATGTCACTCATCCAGAGACAAAAACCTAACTACTGGCCTGCTAGATCGAGAGCAAAATTTGGAAGCACGTCCTGAAATAGAAACTTTGAGGAATGGTAATGTGTTGCTGATTTTTTTTTTTTTAATCTCTTAAATGTAAAAAGGATCAATTTGTTTTCTTCCAGATGAATTATTTGGTCCTGGAGGAGAATGTGGACAATGATCCCTGCAAGTTTGCACTCATGAACAGAGAGACTTCTGAGAAGGTCATTCTGCAAGCCGCCAACGCTGACATCCAGCAGGCCTGGGTGCAGGACATCAATCAAGTCTTAGAAACACAGCGAGACTTTTTGAATGGTGGGTCCTGGGCTTGGTTTCTTGCAGGGCCATTTCAGGGCACTCCACAATCTCTGAGCTTCCTTGGGTCTGGGCTCATGGTCAGTTATGAACCCAGATCACATTTGAAAGGAACTCCATCTTTGTAGTTTTCAGAAACACTTTAGAATTCTTCTGAATCTGAATATACAAGTAGAACACATGGAGTATGAAAAAGAAGCTCCATCTTTCTGATGGAAAAGATTCTCTTTTAGATCACAGGATGTATGTCTTGTGGCCATCACTACCACCTGGTACTAATTTGGGGAAAAGTCTGAGTTAGGCACATCATCTGTGTCTTAGGGGCCTGCTAGAAATGACATGTGTTTTCCCAATTTTCACAGCTTCTGCAGTGTTAACTAGAGATAAATGGGAGTTTGGCCAATCAGTTCTAATCCCTTCTCTGCTCCCAACAGTGTGAGAGCCTAGATAAGCCATGTTGCTAGTCAACCTTACTCCTTTTAAATGAGATGGTTGCTAACTCTAAATTTCTGTAGTACCCCGAAACTTCCTAGAAGAAATTGGTGGTTGCACAGAGCGTGTAGCTCTCTGTGGCCCTTGCAGGAGTTTCCTCATGTGTGGTGTGAATTAGAGTGAAATGGAGTTGCTACTTTGTTTCTTAATTTTTTCCCCTGCTGGGGTTTTCTTCACACTGAGCTTGGCGTGGGAAAGGGGTATGCGGTTTTAAACTAGTGGCTGATCTCTGCTGACTTGGTTAGCTCAGAAGTCTAACCAAGCAGAAATAGAGCTTGAGGTTGAATGCAGAATGTAATTAGTAATGAAGTAAACCTGGAGCCCCAGCAAGCACATATGCCTATATAGACACACAGACACAATACCAGCGTTGGGTATATCACCTCTTCCTCCCTGTCCTGAGATCTGTACTACATGGCCATATGTGCTCACATGAGTGCACACATAGGTACACACACATACATATATGTAGGCCCACCTTCGGGTGTGTCACCTTTTCTTTTTTTTTTTTTTTTTTTTGGGAAGGAGTTTCACTCGTTACCCAGGCTGGAGTGCAGTGGTACAATTTCAGCTCACCACAACCTCCGCCTCCCAGGTTCAAGTGATTCTTGTGCCTCAGCCTCCGGAGTAGCTGGAACTACAGGCACAACCCATCATGCTCAGCGAATTTTTNCTGGGATTACAGGCACGCGCCACCATGCCCAGCTAATGTTTTTTGTATTTTTAGTAGAGACGGGGTTTCACCGTGTTGACCAGGATGGTCTCGATCTCTTGACCTAGTGATCCACCCGCCTCGGCCTCCCAAAGTGCTGGGATTACAGGCTTGAGCCACCACGCCCGGCCTGTGTCACCTTTTCATAGCAGTACTAGGATCCTTTAGATGATCCAAATACAGCATTTTCTGGGTGTCTAGAATGGAACTGAATGCTGAAGAGAAAGATAACAGGTGACATATGAGTTGAGGACCTTGGGCAAGTCATGACATTTCTTTGGCCCTTGTGGCTGGTTTTATTAAAAAGAGAGCTCAGGTAGAACTACTCTGCCCATGATGGCATGCACCATGATGGGCCAGTCTTCCTGGAAGCAGGAAACATGACGTCCTCCCTACAATATCAGTTTCACTATATGATAAGGGATTTAGCACAGTGTTTTAAAGATAAATAGAAGGAGATCATGTAGCAGGATGCCATGACTTTTTAAGATAGAACATGAGACTTCAAAGCAATTTTGCACTTACAGGAAGTATTTTGGGACCAAGCCCCTGGCCCTCAAATGCAAAAACTTTTGGTAAAAAACAACTAGACTAAGTGATGTCTAGGATTCATTTTACTCTAAAACATCTAAACTTAAATGTCAGCTGAGCCCTGAGGGATGGTAATGAAAGTTGTATATGGCTTATGATTTCTGAATATACAATTTTGAATGAACACTTTTGTTGATAAAATAATTTTATGCATAAATGTGTGCATATATAAAGTATACCCATTTAAATTGCATTCTGTTAGGAGTTTCTGATAGATTCTAAGCTGAAATGAGGAATTTTAAAATTCGTCAATTTGGGACAAAAGAAAAAGTACAAAAAATAAAAAATGAAGTAAAAAAATAAAATAAGTTGAAACAAGAAGTTATTGACATAACAATAATGGCTCCCATGTATTGAATCCTCATTCTGTGTCAGGCTAAGCATTTGACATGGTTTTTCACATTTAATCCTCATGTCAACATGGAGAGGTAAGTACTATCATCCTACTTTTTTCAGAGGAGGAAAAGGAGACTCAGAACTTGTCCAGGGTCACAGAAACAGTAAGTGATAGAAAGAGGAATTGAATCTAGGGCTATAGGATTTCAAATTAAGGTTTTGAACCACAAAACTGCAGTATACATGCTAGTGTTAGGGCACTCATTTATTTAACTATGAGATCCCTAGCAACCAAAGTGAAGAAAGAAACAGGATGAGACATAAGACACTGTATAGATCAGCCAAAAACAAACCCTGTAGGGATGCACCGTTTTCTTGATTCTGGGACTAAGCTATGCAAATTGAGGCTGGTGAAAGAATACAGGCTGTCTATTTAGCTTATTTAAGAAGGCATACTTTTTTCAAATGTTTTAGCACAGTCATTGTAAATAACCAGGTAATATCACAATTCCATGTGATGGGAATTGATCCATAAAATCTGTTTGATAAGGCCTACTTTATAACTCTGCTTTGTATTTAGAACTTGGAACTGTATTTCTTTAGGCATAGTCAATGATTCAGAACTTTACGTAGTTCCAAGAGACTTTCTCCTAATTACAGTGAATCACAGAGATACGGTCATCCCCTGGTATCCACAGGGAATTGGTTCCAAGGCCTCCCGAGGATACCAGAGTCTGTGGATGCTCAAGTCCCTCGAGGAAAATGGCATTGTGTTTGCATATGATGATTTATGTACATGTACATCCTATATAATTTAAATCATCCCTAGATTGTTTATAATACCTAATGTAATGTAAATGCTGTGTAAATAGTTGTTATACTGATAACAGTTTATGGACTAACAGACTACAACCATCCCTTCTCCCCCCATATATTTTATTTATTTATTTATTTATTTATTTATTTATTTTTGAGACAGAGTCTCACTCTGTCACCAAGGTTAGAGTGCAGTGGCATGATCTCAGTTCACTGCAAACCTCCAGTTCCCAGGTTCAAAAGAGTCTCGTGCCTCAGCCTCCCGAGAAGCTAGGATTACAGGTGTATGCCACCATGCCTGGCTAATTTTTGTATTTTTAGCAGGGATGAGGTTTTACCATATTAGCCATGGCTGGTCTTGAACTCCTGGCCTTGAGTGATCTGCCCACCTTGCCCTTCCAAAGTGCTGGGATTATAGGCATGAGCCACTGTCCCTGGCCCTTCTCATAAATTTTCAATCCAGAGTTGGTTGAATGCATGGTTGTGGAGCCCACAGATACAGTGGGCCCACTGTATTACTAAATTAGATTATCATCTCCTAAATACTTAATGCCCACAAAATGCTCCCCAGTGAGAGAGGCGGTACTCTGGCAGGCCTGTTACTACTTTAACACATGCAAGAGACAAGGACGTGATGATGGACCAGAGCCCGGCTTCTACTTACAGAGATGTATGCAGGCATCTCAGAGACAACCTTTCCTTCTGAGACCTCAGATAGAAAGGAAGTGTGACCCTATATTAAGTCCTATTGAGGTATGTACCTATCACAGTAGAAATATTCTTATAATTGAGAAGTTCTCTGGGCCCCAACTGTTAACCCACTTAAATAGTTTTTACAGTGCAAACTGATAAAAATGACATAATTGGGCCAACCCTTGAAGTCATTCTTAAAGAATTGGACCTGTATGCCATTTGCCTGGCTCTACCTCTTTAGTTCTCAGACCTTGCAACCTTGTTACCTTAAACTCAATAAAACAAAGCTCTAGTCTTCCTCTTCACAACAGCTTGTTCTCTTGTCTTCTGAGTTCTATTAACTACCATCCTCTGAGTCTCCAAACCTGAGCCATCCTCGATCCTTGCATTGCTTTTCCTACCTAGGCTGTCACAGTCTCATCTCTCCCAACCTCACCATGCCCTCATCCATTCCACATCCCCCTGGTCCCACTCTCCTAGCCCTTCTGCCTCTCGCTGTTACCATTCCACAGCTTCTGAAGTCGACAAGAAGCCTTCTGTCTCATCCTCTCCAGTCCCTCCTCCTAACGACTACAAGGTCAGTGTTCCTCAAATGTGGCTCTGATGATAGAATCTGAATTTAAAACTTTAAAGTTCATTCAATCCAGTTACTTTTCATGACCTTCAGAATTTGGTCATGAAATTCGGTCAGACTCACTGGCCCCACTTTCTAGACTTTTCACACCATGGCACTTCCCACTTCCTAGACCCTTCTTCTTTCCCCTCAGGGAGACCCAAGGCCCTAGGCACTCTGACTACTTCCTGTTCCCCTCACCAACACATCACACTTGCTTCCTTCCTGCAGCCCAAGCGCCAGAGTCTGGCCACAGCTGTCTTCCAAAGCCCTTTTGTTACCACCACCAGCATGCACATGTTACAGAGCCTTCTCTCTCTTTGCGCTACACTTAGTACCTCACATATGGCACCATTTTTAAAAAATTTTTATTATTCAGGTAGATGTCTTAGTTCTCACATTGCCTTAAAAACAAGGGTAGTGTTTTTCTCACTTATCCACACGACACCTAACACAAAGCCTTGGACCTAAGAGGCCTCCAAATCCTTGTGGGATTCCCAAAGCTTAGAGTAACCACCTGCTGTTATCCCACAGCACTGCAGTCGCCCATTGAGTATCAGCGGAAAGAAAGGAGCACAGCCGTGATGAGGTCTCAACCTGCCAGGCTTCCCCAAGCCAGCCCCAGGCCCTACTCCTCTGCTCCTGTGGTCTCAGAGAAGCCCCCAAAGGGCTCCAGCTATAACCCACCTCTGCCACCCCTGAAGATACCTACCTCCAATGGCAGTCCAGGGTTTGAATACCACCAGCCTGGGGACAAGTTTGAAGCCAGCAAGGTAAGTGACAACTCATTACTCCCATCCTTGCCACTATGAGGGCACAGCCCCAGGAGTTACTTTAGGAAGAGACAGAGTCTCAGTCTGTCACCCAGGCTGGAGTGCAGTGGCACAATCTCAGCTCACTGCAACCTCTGCCTTCCAGGTTCAATCAAATTCTTCTGCCTCAGCCTCCCAAGTAGCTTGAACTACAGGCACCACACCATGCCTGGCTAATTTTTATATTTTTTAGTAGAGTTGGGTTTTACCATGTTGGCCAGGCTGATCACAAATTCCTGACCTCAAGTGATATTCCCATATCAGCCTCCCAAAGTGCTGGGATTACAGGCCTGAGCCACCTCACCCGGCCAGGAAGTAGCATCTTTTAATGCTTGCTGATTCTTTTAGCAGGAACAGCCCACTAAGTACAGTCTAGTCTCAGTTATGTTTTTCTTTCCCTGTAAATTGGGTGAGTTATACCAGTTCCCTCTGGCAATCATAAAAATGGATGATTTTTGCTAAATAGAATAGTTGTGGTGTGGATCATCTTCATCTAAAAGTCACAGTTGTGGTGCTTGACATCTTAAAAAGAGATCACCCTTTCTCATGATGATCTATGTTGAGCGCCTACTGAGAGAAGTTCACAGCTCTTCACCATCCACTGGCTGATGTGGAAGGGAAGTCAATCATCAGTGTGTGAATGGCAGAAGTCCTGCTTAGATTAAATGTTTTTCATAGATAATCCACAATTCAAACATCGTCATAAGGAGAGTCAAAGACTCAACCATACACCTAGTCTACACAGCTATTCTGCCCCTGCAAGATAGGTAGAACAGAAGAGAAATGGGAAAAATGCTAGATTAGGAATCAGGCAAACCTGGCTTCTATTCCCAATTCTGCCTCACTTTCTTTAGAACCTTAGCAAGTTAGTTAATCTCATTAGGCCTCAGTGGCTCTATGAATAGAAACACATTTTTTATCTACATGTTCCAATTTCAGTTTTATATCTCTCCAAAATTATTAGTTTTTTATATTGGTTATATTAAAAAATTATTGATGTCCAAGTTCAATCCTGTATTAGAGGAACTATACCACTTGTTTCATCACATCACCTGGAAATGATTTTCCACCTTACAAAACAACCCTGCCTTTTTGAGTAAGTTGAAATCCCTTTGGCATTTTGTTGAACATATCAGGCCAGATATGGTGGCTCACACCTGTAATCCCAGCACTTTGGGAGGCCAAGGCAGGAGGATGGCTTGAGCTCATGAGCTCAAGAGTTCAAGACCAGCCTGGGCAACGTGGCGAGAACTCGTCTCTAATAAAACCATTTCGAAAAAATTAGCCAGACGTGGTAGCACACACCTGTTGTCCCAGCTACTGAGGCAGGAGAATCACTTGAGCCTGGTAAGTCGAGGCTACAGTGAGCTATGACTCTGCCATTACACTTCAGCAGTGACGTAGCAAGACCCTGTCTCAAAAAAAAAGTATATACTGAAGAATTTGTATGTATATACATACAGGATATATATGTATATACTATATTTAAGAATATGTATGTACTATATGTAAGAATGTGTATGTATATACATACAGAATATGTATGTATATACTGAAGAATTTCTGGCTCTGACCATGCTCTATGAAGCAGCCAGGCCTCCTTGGGAGTTACAAGTCTGCCTAGAAGCAGCTGCCCTGATGCAGACTCACATGAAAAGATCATAGGCATCATCTCTTGTATTAACGAGTAGGGGAAGGTACTTGGTGCCTGCAGGAAGTTGGATGCAGGTAGGTCCTGGCCTTGCCTTTGAATTGGGCAGAGATACCATTCTTAGTCTTGTCTCAAAGAGGGTCAGAATATTCAGTAAAGCCAACACATTTTCAAAAAGAAAAAAATTTAATATCAAATGATCCATGTTCTTTCCGTTAAAGGATTGTAACCCCTGACATGACCCTTGTCCTGACCTCACTCTGCCCAGGTGCTTACATATCCCTATGCCAGTGCCAGGTTCTTCCTTTCACTTATCAGAGAATGCTGGCTGGAAGGTTGTATGCTAGGAAGGGGCTTCCAGGTCGAAGGTGTGTTTATACCTCTTTCTGTGCTGGAGCATATTCACCCTGGATGATAATATTATTGAAACATTGCTATTAAAAAATACACTTTCAGAGCACATTTATTAATATTATGTCATTACTCAAGAGAGAATGCTGCCTGCTGCTTACCCTGCTAGCGGGAGATTTGGCCTTGAACCACCAGGTAGGGTGCAAAGCGAGCCCATGTGAACTAGCATCCTTGTGTTTGTGTCCTTCACCCTTGTCTCCCAGCAGAACGACCTGGGAGGCTGCAATGGGACCTCGTCCATGGCCGTGATCAAAGATTACTATGCACTGAAGGAGAATGAAATCTGTGTGAGCCAAGGTGAGGTGGTCCAGGTCCTCGCCGTCAACCAGCAGAACATGTGTCTGGTGTACCAGCCTGCCAGCGACCATTCCCCCGCCGCCGAGGGCTGGGTCCCAGGCAGCATCCTGGCGCCCCTCACCAAAGCCACAGCAGCAGAAAGTAGTGACGGGAGCATCAAGTAAGTGCCTCGTTGGCTTCCCCGGGAGAGGAGTATGAGGATTAAAAATATTCAGAAACAAATAAAAAAACACAAAAGTACAAACACACAGTAGGGAATTACTGCTGCTTGTTCTCAACGGTGCCACTGAACCAGTGTTTGAGGGCTGGAACCATACGCAGTATGGGGCATCCAGGCTGGAGTGGTCCAGTTTTTTTGTTGGTGGTGGCAGTGATTTTTATTTCCTTTTGTTTTATAATTTTCTGTTCATTTTTTCCCTCTTTTTCCTCCCACTCATTAAGAAAAGAACCCTACTGAAACCCTAGGTGACAAAAGGTGTGCCTTCTGTTGCCACATTTGACCCACCACAGGACTCACTGGACTGGACTTTATTTATATTGTATTAAGTAACTGATATATATATATTTTTTTGATTGACACCAAAATATTACCTTGGCACAAATGCCAGACCTGTAAAGGTCAGAGGTCCGCTGCTCCTCCCAGGAGGGAGGGAACTTTTTGGTTGTCTGTGGCAATTCTTCTGTACAGATTGTAACTTTTTAAAAATTCCCCCCACCCCATCACTTGAATACATGTTCATAGTAATTTGTAAGATATTTCTTTTCCTTATTTTGGTTGCAAAGACCCTTCCGAACACATTCCTGTATAAAGTATTTTGCACTATTTAAAGAAACCCATATGGATGAAGTCAGGTCGTGCAATATGATGGCGTCACGATGCTCATCGTTGTACCTGTAATGTAACTGATCAGTTTAAATGTACTATTTTAAATATGTAAAATAAATTCTCACCATGAGCATGTTTTAACGAAGTTAAAGACTAAGTTGACCCTTTTTCCCCCATTTCAGTAATCTTGGACTTTCAAATGTGCAAACGGTTCTTCTTTTCCTCCTCTTCTTTTTTTTTTTTTTTTTTTTTTTTTTTTTTTTTTTTTTTTTAGGACTTGGGTGAATGCATTGGCATTTTGTTTCTACACAATAAGTGCCTTTGTCGCTAAGGATCTGACCCTGCTTTTTCCTCCTAAACAGCCCCTGTTGGTTTTCCCTAACCTCTGAGATGAGGGAAGGTACAGATTCGATGCTCTCCAACTGGTTCCCAGCAACTGGGCAGCCCTGAGGTGCTGACATCCATTAATGACCAGAGTAGAAGGCAGTGTTTGGCTGGCATTCTCTTCTGCTTTCCATGCTGCATGGTCATCCATGGAAGGGGTGCAGGGGGCTCCCACAAGCTGCCTGAGCAGTGACACCGGCAGAACTGCACTGCGCTGGGCCTCTCTCTAGGTCAGGAGATAGCAGCTACTGACATCCCCCTGGCCTCACTAGGTAACTTCAGGGCCAACCAAAGATTCATAGTGGCCCCTAAGGCACAATAGCCTCCATGCATTTTATCCTAAGTACACGTTTTGGGTGCCTTTTAGGAAGCCTTGGGATAAAGGCCCTCAAAGCACTGAAGTTTTTATTAATCAGGGACTTGCAGAGCTAATACTTAATGATGTATCATCTAAATATCCATGCACTAAACACCTCTTCCTCCCTACCTTTGGTTCTGCTGGCCACTTATTCATACCTTCCATGGGAGGGAAGATAAAATGATGTCAGGCCGGGCAAAAGAGAGCAGACTGAAATACAAATGGGTCATTTTGGTTTCTTGTCAACAGCTCTTGCACAAAGGTTGGGGGTGTGTGTGGAGGGGAGCAATGGGCTGAAAGAAACTGTCAGTATTTACCAGTGGAAGACACTCAGCACACCCTCCCCAAGGCCTGCTATAACCACAGGGGTCAGAGTTGGTTGTGGTGCCTACAGGATAAACGTCACTGAAACGTTGTGTCCACATCAGTCCCCGGGCTTGCAACCAAAAGATGAAAGCTCCCCAAACCCTGATGACGAGTTCTTCTCGGAAGAAGAATATGAAACCGAGCCTGCCCTGCCACTTATGCTACTTTGAATCTTTCTTCTGAACATGAAATGTTATTGTTAATATTTCTAGTTTTTCACCAAGCATATTAAATAACCCAGAGAGTTTAATAAATGTAGAAACACACCCCTACATGCACACACACATACACAGGGCTGCCTGCCCTGGGAGTCCTTTCAGCAGGGATCTCCCTGACTCGAGTTATTCTCAGAAGGAGCCAAGGACATGGATTTGGGAGTAAAGTCTGAAGTTAATAGGCTGATGCCATCTAAGATTAGCTTCTATGGCTGATTCTCACTCAGATACAGTGGTTGGAGCAAGATGCTGGTAGTCAGGGACAGTAGAGAGCCTGCTAGTTAGGAGGTTCAAGAGAAGTCTGGGCTTTTGAAGGAGTCCACTTTCCCAAAAGATTCAAAAATATTACTGTGACTGTTTTTTCCTTCTCAGAAGGGTGAACCTTTGTGTTAGGGAATAAATATTTTTGGGACACCTTCCTCAAAATACCCTTAAAATCCTGATGTATGTGGAATGTTGTGGAGATACTCTGTATTTTGCAGCAGATTCCTTCTTCCTAAATCTCCTCTGCCTCTCTCCCATAATGGAGGCTCATCTCATGCAGCCCTGTCTGCATAGGCCCACCTTTGACAAGGAGATACTGAAGGGAAGCCACCACTTATTCCAGACAACGATTAGAACTTCATTCAAGCTTTGTGACCTCACCTGAAACTGATGATGCCTGCTCAGGGTCACTGACGCTGCTTGTGACTTGGCTTTTGGAACCTCTGTCTTCGAGATCTGATATTTACGGAATGTAAGGGCTCTGCTCTGAGCTTGTCTTCATAGGTCTGTGAAGAAGTAGCTCCCAGGACCCTTTATGGGAAGAAAAATGTTAGGATGAAAGGCCTATTGAAAAGCCATTGCTGCTCTCACCTCCTGGGAGTACACATTAGGTCTTGTCCTAACAGGGAAGCTCTAGGACCTCTAGAGGCTGACAGAGCCAAATACTCACAAAAACTGAGTGATATGGAAAATATAGACTGAAAAATTCTTTGCCCTAAAATATCCAGATAAATGAGTGGTGCTTAACTGTTTATTAAGCAAGTGCCTTAGAAAATCCTGTCTGATCAACATTGTTTGGGAGTGGCCCTGCCCAAATACAAATCAGGAGGTGGAACTCTCAGCATCATCCTTTTGGGTCTTTGTGTCTGGTCCTGGGAAAGTGGCAGTAGCATATGCATTCTAGAATATATTTCCTTTGTCTTTCCTGTTCTACCCCTCACCCCATTTCCTCACTCATCCACCATGCCCTTTGCAAGAGGAATTCCTCAGTCCTGTGAGGCGTCATGGGTATGGTATACAAACTCCCTTATTAGAGTTTAGTAACCTAGCATTCATATTTTCTTCAAATGCTGCAGTCAGCCTTGCACATCTACCAGGAGAGGTCAGAGTTCATCCTCGCTCACTTCCAGTTGGAGGCGAGGTCAGCTGCCAGCCACCATGGATGTGCAGGTTTGAGGCCTCTGAAGCCTGGGCTTGATTGCGCATCTTACCTGCTGACTCACCCAAGGGTGGTGAGCCCACCCACCACCTCACTGTCCCTGACCTACCATTTTGATTGGTGCATTTTTTGGTACAACAGGAAGTCATGTTCATGGCATACTCTACGAATGAGAAAGCGGGCGGAAGTGGAGAACACGGGTAAAAATGAAGCCACAGGGCCTCGTAAACCCAAGGATATTCTGGGCAACAAAGTCTCTGTTAAAGTGAGTAAGGTATTCCGGAGCTGCGTCCCCACCTGTCATCTACTCCCACCCTGTAGCATTCTCACAAGGCAATTTGGGTGGATGGGACATTTTTTTTTCCCAGTATGGGGACCAGAGGGGGAGTAGTTTAGCAGGATTTTGCATGCAAGATCAATTTATTTTTTATCTTTTATTTCTCCTGGCAACTTCGATTCAAGTAAGTACCTTTTTTTTTTTCTTTTATACCTTTCTCTTTATACTGTGCAGATGTTTTAGAGCAAAATTATCTGCAGCATTCTCAAAAATGTGAGATGCTTTATTCATATTAAATTTCTCAAAGCTACCATTTGGTACCCTAGGTTTGAGAATACACACAGGTTAGAGCGATTAGAGATGCCTTCCAAACCCCCAACCCTGTGAAGGCTGAGGTTTGGAATTTAAGGGCCACTGTGTCCTTAGTAAAGTTTCATTTCTTTTCCCCAGAGTTCAGACAACATCAACTTCAGGCCATTTTACTTGCCTTTCCCTATGTATGGACACAGTAGGGGCCACACTGGTGAGGCCCAAATTATTTCGTTATAATGATCCATCTACTACTTTGAACTCATGAATTCTAAGCTTGGCAGACTCTTATTTACCCCCATCTTGAAACAATTTCATCTGCTTTCTTTAAATTGGATCCTCTGGAACGCTCTGCCTCTGGACAATGGAAATTAGACACTGATTATTATAGCACGAATTGTGCTGTAATGTGTGATCATCTGCCTGATCATCTACTTTGTTTCCCTTCCTTAGCAAAGTAAGAACAACTAAAACCCAGTCTAACATCCTTCTTGGGGAAAAGAAATTGTATGCTCTCCTTCACTCTCATCTGGGAAGTCCAACCCCACAGAGGACAACAGTTTAAATTTGACAGCACTCATTCTCCATTATGCTTCCATTGCTGTTTCCCATGAGTTAGCAGTTGTACACAACCCCGGCCTCCTCTCCCTGAAAAGAGCATGCTGCTGCCCCTGGTGATTCTCACCCCCACTTTAAAAACACCTGGTTTATTCTCTGCCCAATAACCCACTGCCCATGCTTCTCTGAAGTTCTCCTCTTTCTCTAGCAAAAGCTACTTGTGATCTAACTGTGTTCTCTTTCTTCCCCCTTCCTCATGCTGCCAATCAAGGAGACGAACAGTTCCGAGGAATCAGAGTGTGATGATCTTGACCCTAATACTAGCATGGAGGTAGAAGCAGCTATTGTTGTCCTATTTCCTACAGTGATTGCCTTTTTTGATATGTCTATAACAGTGACCTTGCTAAAATGACCAGCCATTCAGTGATAAATGGTAATGTTATGCGGGAGGGTCTCTGGGTATCCCATCCCAGCTAAAAAAGAAACAAACAAAAACGTAATTCTTGAATGCTTGTTAAGTATTTTCCTCTTTGGCAGGTTTGGCTTTATATAGAAAATATCCAATTTCATTATTTGAAACTTAGAACACTTTTTTTTTCATGGAAAACAGCACTATCAGAATGTGTGAGTCCCAGCTAAGTGACAAGAACTCATTTTGTGTTTTCCCCTTCTTTTGTTTTCCCCTTCTCCCCTTCTTCTTCGTTCCCCCTTTATTCTCTTCATCTACTCGGTTCTATGCCCCCGTTAATGTTCCAAAATAACCGGTGAATTATGGCACCTGGTTGCTATGTAGAGCTGATTTATAGCAAATGAGGTGTGATTGTAGCAACTCCAGAGCACACTTCAGCGCAGTGCTGGGCCTGTGAGCAGTGGCTGTGCCCACGTGTGAAGGGAAAGAAGCCCTGGGGAGGGCCCGTCTCCTGGAGCCATGGCAGAGGCCTCTCCAGAGACGGTGAGATGGAAACACTGCCCAGGGGACTTTTCTCATGCTCCAGGTTTACAGGGATGTGGGAGTGAACCAATGCCTGTATCAATAAGAATATCCATTCCGCTTCCAATTCCTAGTCTGTTGGGTTACAGAAACATGGCTCTTACGTGGTTTGCCACTGAGTGACAACCATGATAAATTTACAAACCCTAGGCAATGAGGGCAAACATGGAGCTGACTTTCCTTGCCACTTTATCATTCAGAGTAAATTGTGATGTTTTTCTCCAAATCTATGCCTCCATTCCCGGTAATGGGTATAAGTTTAGAGATTTAAGTACAAAATAGACAACATTTCTTAGAAAAATTTTTTCTTTGTATAGTCCCAAACGTTTCACTTAATTAAATGGACTTTTATTCTTATTCGAATTTGACCTAATCCCAAAGAAGTCCAGCACCATGTTATTTCAGCCACCACAAAACCCAAGAGAGACCATGAGACCTAAAAACTGGTAAGTCAGCTGCAGAAGGAGCCAACTGAGTTGAATCAGGCCCAAGGCAAACAGTTGACAGTGGGAGTTCTCCCAGGATAGAATAGTACCCTGTCAATGTGAGTATTGTCACAGAGATCAATCTGGTAGGTGTGGCTCAATATATACTCCACTATGGGAGAAAGTGGATATGGCATTTGTAGCCTAAATGTATCTTGGAGAACAAGGAAGCCAGGGGAAGTGTCAGGCTCTGTTTTCCTTGCATTTCATAGGATAGGCATCTGCTTGCCTGGAGCTCACACCTGTCAGCTTGTAGATGCTAGGTGGCACCTGTATCCCCAGACTTAAGTGTTGCCAGCATGTATTATAGATGTCAGCTGCAAGTAGAGGAAGGGCACACAGAGGCAGAGGAAAAACCAGGTATCTGTGTTCCAGGAAACAGTTTAGGCCCTTGTCCAGTTCTCGTGGACTGGGGGAGAAGAGTGGTGTACCCACTCTGTAGGAAGAAATGGCACAGAGAGATGTGGGCCCAGGGGAGCGGCGCACTTAAGAAAATTAACTGGTGTCATTGAATGCTCTATTCTGCACTTAGATTAAAAGCGTGTGTGTGCACGTACACATCTTAACTCTGCTTTGCTAATTGAAAGCACGTTTTAAAGATTCTTATTTGTCTACGGTTTTTAGTCCTTTGCATGGGCTGCGTGGGATGGGTCCTCAGGAGGTGCTAAGGAGTGCATGAACAAAGACATTAGAGTATTCATGCTGAACAGAGGAAAACCAAAAATTGTGTTGATGCATGTCCAAAAAGTTTTCAAATACAGGAGTTGAGCCACAAATTTTCCTTTAGGCCCAAACTTTCAAGTAGCTGGAACCTCAAGGAGGCATGTTGTTGGAAGCTGCAAATGTCCCCAGCACATGTGTATGCAACCCTTATGTATTCCATATATAGCCTTCTAAACTTCAGTGATTCTCTTTTGGGTTTTTCTTTAATGTGGAGCCTCTGTCACCCAGGCTGGAGTGCAGTGGTAGGACTTCAGCTCACTGCAACCTCTGCTTCCCTGGCTCAAGGGATCCTCCTGCCTCAGCCTTCTGAGTAGCTGGGACCTTAGGTGCACACCACCACGCCTGACTAATTTTTGTATTTTGGGTACAGACAAGGTTTCACCATGTTGCCCAGGCTTGACTTGAACTCTGCCGGCCTTGGCCCCCCAGAGTGCTGGGAGCCACTGCACCTGGCCTAAACTTCAGTGATTCTGTGAATGTGTTGCCCACTTCAAATTAATTTTGAGCACATGAGCAAGTCCAGAGGGAGAGCAAGCATCTTGGCACTGCTGGTTTGGCATTTTCAGACACAAATAAATAAGATACAGAAAGTCAACCTGTTCAACATGAGTTGAGAATTTTCTCAAGGCATATGTAAGTAGAATCTTACTGCAATGTACACTGCAGAGGAAGAAAATGGCCAGGAGTGCATACCGAAGAGAGAGGCTACCTTAAAGATCCAAATTGAAATACAGGTGGGCGGGCCACCTCTTGAAGGCCTCTTACTACTAAAGTGATCATTTGGGGCATCATTTCCAGACTCAGCCTGGCCCCCGACCTCACCCTTGTCTTCTGAACTTGATGCTGCAACTGGCATTGTCTCTCTGGGAGTGTGTCCAGTACCCTTAGTGAGCTGAACCCTGTGCTGAGAGCGCCTCCATTCCTGGAACCCCAGCTGACCTAATGGGACCATGCACCCTGTGTGTTCACCCTGTGCTAGATCTCTGGATGCTAAATCCTGCCTCACTGACTGACTCTCCTTAACCTGAGGCCAGCCTGTTGATCCCAGTCCTAGCTGTGTATAGGCTGTTATCTCCTGCCTGCATGGGAATGATGTCACCAAAACATTCCTTACTCTTTCGCAGTGGGTGGACTGAACAGTTCCTTTAAGGGAAGTCTCCTGGGGTCTTTACTTATACACTGGCTGCTTGCTACCTTCAGGCTGGCATTTGTCCTACCACGGTGTTTTGGAGCGATATATAGGCACATCCTTGAAAGCTAAGTAAGAGGAAAATAAAGCACCTTGAATCCTAGGAATCAGATATACAAAGCTTTCCAAGAATACCCAATTATGTAAAGGGAAGTAATTCCGCTCTAATGTTTACAACCTTTTCCTTCCCTGGCTTCTGAATGTTTTCAAGTACAGTCCCCCACTCCAGCAGTACATGCCACACCAGCACCGTTGCAAGACTGGCTCTAGGTCTGTGCCATCCCCTCACGGCCAAGTTTCCTGACGATCTGTGACTGTACCTCATGGAGAAAAGTTCTAAAGATGATGAGTATCATCCATAGTTGGGCTTACATATTTACCTTGCACTGATGGAACTTTGGGGTAGGAGTGAAAGGCGGGCATCATACATGAAAGAAATGTTTCTACATGGAAGAAGAGTCAAACCAAGCTGAAAAGCAAACACGAGGGTGCCTTAGAAACAGGTTAATAGTAATTCATTTTTTTCCAGTACAGGTTAGACTGCCGAGTGCCTTTTGTAGGGCTGAGAACCACGTGCCTGCCCATCAGCTTCTTCAGTCTTGCCTCTGGCCCAGTGTCTGCACTGACACCCCAGGCTGGAGCCAGGCCCAAGTGTTCAGGGTCAGCTTCTGGGCTATACTAGATTTTTCTTAGGACCCAGGTGAGACAGGTTTCCACCTCTGAAAAGTTGTCTGAGGACTGTCAATGCTTGCTCGTGTTTTTGCACCTGCCCCCCAGCCCCAGCACTGCCACCTGCCTGCATACAGGATGGGGTTGAAAGACATGAACGACTTAGGCCTCCATGACTTAGGCCTTCAAGGATAAGGATTCTCAGCCCATTTTTACACCATGCTCAAGTAATGACATGCATTTTAACTAAAGCAAAACAAAACCCAATACCTCTTATAGCAGAGAAAGTCAATTCATCAGAGTACGAAGTTGTCATTTCAAAAAGACTTCACCTCCGCCCCAGCCATTCAACGTGCTGTTGGTCTCACCCACAACACAGACTAAGTGCAGACGTTTTCCTCGGTTATATACCAGCCACCAGAGATTTATCTTAGGGAGTTAAAAACTGTTGGGATCTTCTAGGATAAGGCTCTGAAAGATGAGAGAGAGAAAGCGCTTGGGAAGGTGAAGCTGATTTTGGAGGAAATTTTCCACTGGAGTAAGAATCACACTTTTAGAATCAACGGAACCTTGGAAACATTTAATTAATCTCTTCATTTATTTTGTTGTTGTTGTTGTAGTAAAATATACATAACAAAAATTTACCATGTCAACCATTTTTAAGTGCGATTCAATGGCATTAAGTCTCCTAACAATGTTGTACCACCATCACCACTATCCACATCCAGAATGTTTACATCATCGCAAACAAATTCTTTAGTGAACCCACCAAACGAAAACGCCCTATTCCTCTCCATCCCTGCAGCCCCTTCACCTTTAACAGAGCCGCAGGAACTTGTGCTTTTCTGTTTGCAAACTAGAAGGTGCTCTAGTTTCTGAGGCAGCTTCTGGCTTTCCTGATTACTATTCCCCCACCTACATCATCCTGCGGCAACTTGGAGTGCCCCATCTCCAGGTTGGTTTTAATCTAAAACACAGATCCTAGCAGTTGAGGAGACCTGTCTCTTAGTGCCTGTTTTTCTGCATAAGTGTGTCATTCCATTTTCCAGCTCAATAAAAAGGAATATCATTTCTGCCCATCTTAGCTTTCCAAGGCTGAAGTGCAATTTAAACAAAAATCACACAAAAGCGGTATCACATGAAAAACTGGAACCGGAGTCAAAAACCTGGATTCTAGTTTGGACACCACCAGCTATGTGACTGTGGGCCAGTTAGCCTTTCTAAGCCTCAAGATCCCCTGGAAAGTTGCACAGCTCCAAGTGTACAGGTGTTTA